CCCCCCCACTGTGGTAATAACCTTTAAACTTTTGTTGTATTTATACTTGCTTTGTACAGTAGGATGACAATTTTGTCGCACTATTGTACGAAGTATGACTGTGCAATGACATTAAAGATTATCTTAATAATCCTTTCCTGTACTAACTACGTTTTAGTACTTTGATGCTTTAAACTTTATTTACAATAAAAATCCCATATAAATACAGAGCTCGATTCCTTTTTTCCCCCCATCTGATTCAGCATTCTTCCACTATTTTTTGACTAATGATACTTTCTTACTTATTATTAGCCTTTTGCTACTTTTAGTTAGGAGTGTCCTAATACCAGTACAAGTAGCAAGTACTTACTGTGTTAGAACATACACTTAATGACTTAAAAACACATTTCTTTTATTTAAATCAAGGTGTCCTTCCTTATTGGTCTACAGCCCGTCTGAATGGATCAAATCAAGTATACCACATGATACATTTTGTTGCAAACTTTTAAAAAACATGATTTTCTTTCAACTTGTATCCACTTTTAAAACATGGAACTGAAACGTTTCACTTGAAATGTAAACTAACATTCAATGGAGTATCCATCCTGGTATTGGTATTATTATGGTATTTTGTACGAGTACTTGTATTAGACTTGAATACCTGTATAGGGACATCACTACTTGTAGTCAGTCTTTAGTAGCTTCTATCTGACCTTTACTTCTTTAAACTTAATTTTAGTTTTTTCTGCTGCCACTCAGCATTTTCATAGAAAATGCTATTTATTTTACATCACAATTGTTCAGAATGACAAGGTAAAAATGTTTGTTTTTGTAATTATATAAAAAAGAAAAAATATGAAGCAACTTACAAACTTATGGATTCTGTGTACAAAAAGTACAACTTGTTCTCATTCACAAACATCTGTAAGGTGAATCCTCCAGTGGAAATAAGCCAACAGGACTACAGACAAATTCTAATAAAAACAGTTTTTATACAAACGTTCATCTCTCAGTAGTCAAAGCGAATTGATCGACTTGCATTGATGTCAATGGAGAACTTCTTGTTAGGTGAAGCAGCGAACCCAAGTCCTGCTCCTCTGCTACCAAAGTCCATTCTGCGTGAGTGSGCCCGCTCAAATTCTCCCAGAAGCCCTTGCTGCAGCTGCTGCTGTGCATCCTTCCCCAGTGCCATATTGCTGCTTCCAGATGTGGCCACAGCTGGCTGGAAGCCCTTTTTGAAGCCCCCCATCAACCGCAGGAACTTCTGTTGCTGCTGGGAGCTGTCAAACTGAGCAGTACTCCACTGGCCTAAACCCTGAAGAACAGAAACATTGGGAAGAAAAATATTGATAATTGCTGCATTTAGTGGTTTACCCCTAAAATCTCAATCTTTWTATTTAAAAATAACAAATTGGCTACTGTCTTATATTCAGGGAATATTCTTAATCCCCCTTAAATATCTTATTCTACATTTTCTTTCACTACGTGTACTTCAGGGTGGATATAGCTCACTAGCAGCCTTAC